AGAAATGAGTCTGCAAAAAGCCCTGAGGTGGTGGCTTCAGATCCCTGGACAAAGTTTCTCCCATCACAGTGCCGTGTGAGCAGAAGCAACACATTTGCCCCAACATTCCCTCCCATGCAACTGAATGGGTATTTTCCATTTAGCATTTAAAACAAGAAGGAAGGGCTGTCGTACATGCGTATAGAGCATGCTTTGCATGCAAAAAGGCCGAAGTTCAATTCCTTGTGTCTACAGGTAAAAAGGGACGCGGGTGGCGCTGTGGGTTAAACCACAGAGCCTAGGACTTGCCGATCAGAAGGTCGGCGGTTCGAATCCCCGCAACAGGGTGAGCTCCCGCTGCTCGGTCCCTGCTCCTGCCAACCTAGCAGTTCGAAAGCACGTCAAAGTGCAAGTAGATAAATAGGTACCTTCCAGCGGGAAGGTAAACGGCGTTTCCGTGCGCTGCTCTGGTTCGCCAGAAGCGGCTTAGTCATGCTGGCCACATGACCCGGAAGCTGTACACCAGCTCCCTCAGCCAATAAAGCAAGATGAGTGCCACAACCCCAGAGTCGGCCACAACTGGACCTAATGGTCAGGGGTCCCTTTACAGGTAAAATAATAAAAAAAAAGATAAAGGACTCCTGGACGGTTAAGTCCACTCAAAGGTGACTTTGTTGTGGCACTCTTCTTGCTTCAAGCCGAGGGAGCTGGCGTTTGTCCACAGAAAAGCTTTCTGGGTCATGTGGCCAGCAGGACTAAACCACTTCCAGTGCAACAGAGCACCATGACGGAAGCCAGAGCGCATGGAAACGCTGTTTACCTTCCCGCTGGAGTGGTACCTATTTATCTACTTGCACTGGCCTGCTTTCGAATTGCTAGGTTGGCAGGAGCTGGGACAGAGCAGCAGGAGCTCACCCCGTCGCGGAGATTTGAACCGCAAACCTTCTGATTGGCAAGCCCAAGAGGCTCAGTGGTTTAGACCACAGTGCCGCCCGCGTCCCTAACCTCAAAAGTCTTCTGCCTGAACCCCTGAAGAGCTACTATCAGTCATTGCAGACAACTACTGAGCTAGGGCCTGATGTGATATAAGACATCTTCCTGGGCACCTGTATGACAACAAGAAACTGCCTGCTTTAGTAAGCAGCACACGAGTCTTTTGGCCACCTGTCGCAGCCACGGGTAGTATTATTGCCTGAGGCTAGGGCTGGTTCTCGGTTGATGAGCTTACATAGCAAGTGGGTTGTTGCGAAGGTGAAGAGCAGGTCAGGATGAAGGCCTTAATTGTTGTTGGGTAATCACACAATCTGCAGCTGGCGGAGTTTGGAGAGGCAAGGGGCTGGCTCTATAAATAGGAGTCACGCCATTAGGAACAAGCAGGTGTTGCTGTTATCTCAAAGCTCACCTGGCCCTGGTTGTCATAGTACCTGGAGCCTGGCGGTTCAACGATATTCCTGCAGCACGATTCCTGTAACCTAAGCGAAGAGGAAATAACGTGAGCAGCAAGCTGGGTGACCACGCAAGGACTGAGGCAGAAGGAGCGCCAACTTTGTCTCTGGCAAAGCATCTCTTCCTCTAACAGCAGCCCAATAGGCTGGAATTCTGTGGGTGAAACCTCAGGGCCATCTCCATGCCAGCGGAGGTTTTACCGGCTAGATTTCTGCAGTTGAGGCATGTGTGTTATTTATTTACTTATTGAATTTCTGTACCGCCCTATACCCGGGGGTCTCAGGGCAGTTCGCAGAATAAAATCAAAGATATAAAACCACAAAACATGTACCTTCTGGACCGCCTCTCCTGGTAGGCGCCATGGAGGACCTTAAGGTCCACAAATGACAACATTTTTGGAGGTCCCAGGTCGCAAGGTGGTTAGATTGGTCTCAACTAGGGCTAGGGCCTTTTCAGTACTGGCCCCAACTTGGTGGAACACTCTGTCACAAGAGACTAGGGCCCTGCGGGACTTGACATCTTTCCGCAGGGCCTGCAAGACAGAGCTGTTCTGCCTGGCCTTTGGTTTGGACTCAGTCTGACACTTATTTTTTCCCTCCCCTTATGGTTTTGATCTATGGGCTACTTTTAAAACGAGGCTGCATTTTAAATTGCATTTTAACCTGTATTTTAAATTGGTTCTTTTCCTATTATGATTTTACTGTAATTTTACTGGTGTTAGCCGCCCTGAGCCCGGCTCTGGCTGGGGAGGGCAGGGTATAAATAAAATGTATTATTATTATTATTAAGCAACAACCCAATAGCCCCCCAAAAAACAAAACAAAACACATTTTAAAGGGGCTTTACATCTATTGATTGCACTTAGAAGCAAAATGCATTGACAAAGATATATAAATAACATTCAATAAATCTTTACAATGTAGGACACATCATAAAAACTGATCCATTGCAAAATAAACATCATGTAAATAAAATATATCAATATTTTCTTAAATTGCTCCAGTAAAGTATAACATCCTACACTTCAGAATTCAAACATAAACCTTCTGTCTGGCTAGCCTTTTGCCATAACCTTATATAAATATTTTTAGTTTAATCAATTATACCACACATCCCAATCTGCTATTGAAAGCCATTATTAATTTTTCATTCATTATGTAAAAATCATTTCTACTTTCACATCCTGCCTTTCCTTCATCACGGGACTCAAAGTGGCAATCCATGGGATTCCCTGCACCTGTTGGACTTCTGCCTGGTGGCTGCAACACCTACATTTAGACCACATGTTGAGACTCTGTAGTTTATTTCACCAGGAAAGTGTGCCATTCCTGCACTTCCTGCACTGCAAGTTCCTGCAAGGTTGTTCTATTCCCAGCCTGAGAAGAAAAATTGCTACGATCCCATAGGTGGAGGGTTCTGTGCTGGAAACGGATTGGAGTGCACTGCTAAATTTTAGAATCTCATAGAAGCTCTTATTGTTTTGTTATCCTAGCTGTCCTTGGCGCAATCTGAAATCTGTTCCACACCTTGCCGAGGCTCATCTAACAGGTTCTTTTAATTGTGCGAAAGCAATTAACATGCTTATTTTTAAGAATTCAGAGCTGCCTCGTTGGTCTCCCGACTGGGGCCGCAGCATGTGGGAGAGGGATCTAATCACCACCGCAAGGAGGGCACCAGCTCTCTGCATTCCTCCTATATCGTTTTCCAAGGCAGGTTATATTGGGAAAACCTATTGGTGTTTCGCAACTTTCTGACTAGTTGCAGGACCTTAGCCAGACCTAGCAGAGTAAACGCAGAATCCACGGAAGCAATTGGCGACTTGGCTGCAGACAGGATAGACGAAGCAGGAACCAGGAACTTGTAGTTAGGTGTTTATTATATACAGTGGACTATTTGCAGGAATAGAACACGGATCTTTTGCTAGCTCTCTCTGACACGACTCACAACTCCTACACTGACACACAGAACTCTGAACCTCTGAACACTGAACTAACACATTCCAGTTAGTAGGCCATTAATTATTACTCCCTTGAAAGAGCTTGACCAATCAGGGAGCTGTCTCCATGTCTCTGTTATCACCAGGCAGACTAACTCCTTCAGATTGCCTTCTGGCTGTCTGTCAAACCTTAATTGACTCTGTGTGAGTAGCTGCACGTACACAGTTTCCCAACAGGTTATCGCATTTGCTTTACGGTTCTCGCCATGCTACAGTTGCCCCCTTCAATGTTCTCTAACGGAGAGAACCTGTGGCTCTCTTGGAATACGATGGTACCTTGGTTCTCAAACACCTTGGAACCCAGTTTGCAAACTTTTTTCGGGACCCGAACAGGCTCCGCTTGGAGTGTTAAGCTGACGATTTGAGTGCCACACTTCCGTTTGGAGTGTTACGTCAAGGTCTGTCTGTTTTTGCTATTTATTTTTGCAGCTCTTTCTGTTTTGTGTGGAACCCAGTTCAGCTACTGATTGATTGATTGTGTGACTGCAGTACATTGTTTACCGCTTTCATTTTATGGATCAGTGGTCTCGTTAGATAGTAAAATTCATTTTAAATTGCTGTTTTAGGAGTTGTTTTTAAAAGACTGGAACGGATGGATCCATTTTGCATTACAGTGGTACCTCAGGTTAAGTACTTAATTCGTTCCGTAGGTCTTTTCTTAACCTGAAACTGTTCTTAACCTGAAGCACCACTTTAGCTAATGGGGCCTCTTGCTGCGCCACCGCTGCACAATTTCTGTTCTCATCCTAAAGCAAAGTTCTTAACCCGAGGTACTATTTCTGGGTTAGTGGAGTCTGTAACCTGAACCATATGTAACCTGAAGCGTATGTAACCCGAGGTACCACTGTACTTTATATGGGAAAGCGCACCTTGGTTTTGGAACGCTTTGGTTTTGGAACAGACTTCCAGAACGGATTCAGTTTGAGAACCAAGGTACCAATGTAGTTGAAATCCGGCTCCCATCAACCTTGCCCATTGGCCAGGCAGAAGGTAGGATCCAGAGAGACCCACAGGTTCCCCCCGCCCTGCTCTAATGGTTCAAGGGCCTGTGGCGTGTGACTTTTGGAGTGTGTGCCCCTTTGCAGACGTCCTCACAAATGTTCCCACCGCAGATAATAACTGGGCTTGGTAGAGTCGTCAGGCTGACCACACAAAAAACCTCTTTTGCTTTACTTCTCATTTCTCTTCTTGCTTCGCAACAGGAATTATATAGAATTGCTGAGAGTATGAGAAAACATCATCCTTGACCTTTCATTTTGGGAACCAAGAAGCAGACAGGGGGTCTGCTTTCCTTAACCTTTGTCTCTGTTTCCAAAAGAAGGTGCAAGAGAAGGCTGGTTTCGGCCTCTAAACTGGGAGGACCAGACCCATCGGATGTCAAGGAGATAAAGAACAACACAACTTTTAGAAGACATCTGATAATGTTTTTAACATTTGATGTTTTATTATGCTTTTATATGTGTTGGAAGCTACCCAGATGCCGGGTATAAATATTATTACTGCTGTTGTTCTTGTTATTAATAATAATATTTCAATGACTCTTTCTCCACCAGTTGGTGGAAACTGCAAGAGGGTGTCAGCACAGGTAGCTCCCTGGGTAGAGCATGAGATTCTTAATCTCTGGGTCCTGGGTTCGAACCCCACCTTGGGCAAAATATTCCTGCATTGCAGGGGGCTGAACTAGATGTCCCTGTGCCAGGTGACTTCTCTCTTTATGAAGGGGACATGGGTGGCGCCGTGGTCTAAACCACTGAGCATCTTGAGCTTGCCGATCAGAAGGTCGGCGGTTCAAATCCCCGCGATGGGGTGAGCTCCCGTTGCTCTGTCCCAGCTCCTGCCAACCTAGCTGTTCAAAAGCATACCAGTGCAAGTAGATAAATAGGTACCGCTGCTGCGGGAAAGTAAATGGCGTTTCCAAGTGCTCTGGCTTCCATCACGGTGTCCCGTTGCACCAGAAGCAGTTTAGTCATGCTGGCCACATGACCCGGAAAGCTGTCTGTGGACAAACGCCGGCTCCCTCAGCCTGAAAAGCAAGATGAGTGCCACAACCCCATAGTCGCCTTTGACTGAAGCTGGGACAGAGCAACGGGAGCTCACCCCGTCGCGGGGATTCGAACCGCCGACCTCCCGATCGGCAAGCCCAAGAGGCTCAGTGGTTTAGACCGCAGCAGCACCCGCATCTTTTGTTGTTGTTTAGTTGTGTCCAACTCTTTGTGACCCCATGGACCAGAGCACGCCAGGCCCTCCTGTCTTCAGTCCCCTATAATGAGAAGAACATCCTTCTTTGGTGTCACTTCTATAAGGTGTTGTAAGTCTTCATAGAATTGGTCAATTTCAGTTTCTTCAGCACCAGTAGTTGGTGCATAAACTTGGATTACTGTGATGTTAAAAGGTCTGCCTTGGATTCGTATCGAGATCATTCTATCATTTTAGAGATTGCATCCCAGTACAGCTTTCGCCACTCCTTTGTTGACTATGAGGGCCACTCCATTTCTTTTACGGGTTTCTTGCCCACAGTAGTAGATATGATGGTCATCCGAACTGAATTCGCCCATTCCCTTCCATTTTAGTTCACTAATGCCCAGGATGTCAATGTTTATTCTTGCCATCTCATTTTTGACCACATCCAACTTACCCAGGTTCATGGTTCTTACATTCCAGGTTCCTATGCAATATTTTTCTTTACAGCATTGGACTTTCCTTTCGCTTCCAGGCATATGCGCAACTGAGCGACCTTTCGGCTTTGGCCTAGCCGCTTCATCAGCTCTGAATCCTTAGTATTGTCAAAACCGACTGGCAGAGGTGCTGCAGGATTTCAGACCGGGGTCTCCCCTGCTCCTACCTGGAGAAGCTGGAGGTTGAACCCCTCACCTTCTGCATGCAAAACAGGTGTTCTGCCACTGAGCGGAACCCTTCCCCTTCAATTACCATGCCCAGAAAGCACAAGCCTTGTAGCATCGCTGCTGCTGCTGCTGCTTGTTTGCAAGGAAGGTGGGGAAAAGAGGGAAGAAATCTCCTTTCACTCCCTCTAAGAAAAGAGGGAAGAAATCTCCTTTCACTCCCTCTAAGTCTAGGATGCAAGTGAACTGGAAGTGCAGAAACGTCGAGAACATGCCTACCAGCAGAGCTACTCTGTGCAGGTTTATTTGTGGCAGTTCCGGTGGGCTAAATATTAAAACCTCCGTCATTCGGCTTTTGGGGAAGCGTTGCCAAGTGTAGGTGGGCAACACCAAATGACTAATGCGAACCACGCGATATACTTAGAAAATGTGCGAGGACAAGACGCCGCCTGACCGAGGGAATGGGGAAAAGACGCAGCTGCGTGCATCTGCTCCTGACAGACCTTCTGCCGTTCTTCTGGCCTGCGTGTTGTCATTCCGTATTTGGGTTACAAGCCCTGCATCCAGGCAAGGCCCCTCCCTTTCCCCTCCTCTTTTCTTAAGCAGTTGGGAAAAGCTCTTCGCCAAACCAATAAACAAACATAGCGGCGGCTTGGCATTAGCCAGCCAAGATACCTATCATAAAGTGGGATGTGGAGCCGACAAAGGAAATCGGTTGAACGATAAAATCCAGAGCAAAAATGAGGGTGAGAAGAGAGCGTCTCCACAGAAGTCCTAAAGGGCAAATGACAAAATACCTTTGCTGTCTTTTGAAAAGCTGGGTGGGAAAAAGGGATTTTCTGTCAGGGGCAGCATTTCCTGGCGTAGTTGCTGCAGCAACAGCACAAACTGTACCTGACAGACACACACACACACACACACACACACACACAATTCCCACAAGAAGGTAGCTGCAACATCCTGTATTCCAAGAGTTTGGGACCTCAGGCATCTAGGGGCCAGAGACAGCCCTCCAAGCCTGTCTATCTGGCCCCCAGGACACTTCCCAGGCTGCACCCCCTCTCCTTAGGCAACCACACTGCCACACCCTCCAAGTGTCCTTATTTGCCAGGGACAGTCCCGGGTTTACAGAAACCAAACCCGGAATGTCCTGCTTCTCCTTAGGGTGTCCCTATATTCAAAGTGTTGGTGCTGACCTTTAAAGCCCTAAATGACCTCGGCCCAGTAGGCCTGAAGGAGCGTCTCCAACCCCATCGTTCTGCCCGGACACTGAGGTCCAGCTCCGAGGGCCTTCTGGTGGTTCCCTCACTGCGAAAGGCGAAGTTATAAGGAACCAGGCAGAGGGCCTTCTTGGTGGTGGCGCCCGCCCTGTGGAACGCCCTCCCATCAGATGTCAAGGAAATAAACAACTATCTGGCAGCCCTGTTTAGGGAAGTTTTTGATGTATGGTATATTATTATTATTATTATTATTATTATTATTATTATTACCACCCAGAGTGGCTGGGTAAACCTAGCCAGATGGGCAGGGTATAAATAATAAATTGTTATTATTATATTATTATTATTAGGGAAACATTGGAGGGTATGGAGTTATGTGCCCCCCAAGCCAAGGAGATGAGTAACTCTTCAACCTTTAGAAGATATCTGAAGGAGGTCCTGTACCTCTGGGTGCAAATGGGATCTGTTCTGGAGCCCCGTTCGCATCCTGAAGCAAACGCAACCTGTAATTCGCTGCTTCCGCGCATGCGCGTGATGTCATTTGGAGCGTCTGCGCGAGCGACGAAACCCGGAAGTAACATGCTCCGTTACTTCCAGGTCGCTGTGGAGCGCAACCTGAAAAGGCTTAACCTGAAGCGACTTCAACCCAAGGTATGACTGTATAGGGAAGTTTTTAATGTTTTATTACGTTTTTATATATGTTGGAAGCCACCCAGAGTGGCTGGGGCAGCCCAGTCCAATGTGCAGGGTATAAATAATAAAAGTGTTATTGTTATTGTTATTGTTGTTGTTAAGTAGGGCATCCCTATTTTCATCAGAGAAATGTTGGAGGGTACGTACTCCTCACCAGCCCAGCTCCATACCCAACCCACCCTGAGTGTCTTTGCCTACCTGGAATATGTCCTTGAACCCTGATTATGTGTCTTCGCTCGCCTAGAATAGGAGAGGACAGAGGGGGTGTCCTCAGGTCCTGCCCACCACTGGGAGATGGTGCCCCCTCCTCAGGTTGCCCCAAAGGGAATTCCCCCCTTCCCCTAGCCCACCAGCCTCCCCCCCCCAAAAAAATACAATCTTTCAATGCTTAACCGCACCATCACATTTCCAGGAGGCAAACACCTACTCGTTTTAACAAACCGCGTCTGTGAGGAAAGAGACTTCCCTCAACGCAAGCCACAAGGGGCAGGGATGAGGAGAAAAGAAACATATATGGACAGTCAAGGAAGTCGAGGCGGAGATGGGAAACCACGATGACGCCAAAGAAAATGGCGGTCAGCGTGGAGGGGAAGTTGTCGTGACCTCGGCTGTGATCTCTAGAAGCCTTCAGAGGGGGAAGCAAACTGAGGGATGTCGCAAGTATCTTTCCGCTGCCTTCATTTCCCCCACACCTCGTGGCACGTTTATCACAACTGAGTCGTTTTTTCATTGGCATAGCGGAAAAGTAAAAGGGAGGAGGGCACAGGTGGCTTAAGGCCTGCCAAGGAGCTCCCCAAGTCGAAGAAACGATGCCCCACTTTCCTGACTTTGTTGTTGTTGTTTAGTCATTTAGTCGTGTCCGACTCTTCGTGACCCCATGGACCAGAACACGCCATGCACTCCTCTCTTCCACTGCCTCCCACTGTTTGGTCAAACTCATGCTGGTAGCTTTGAGAACACTGTCCAACCACCTCGTCCTCTGTCGTCCCCTTCTCCTTGTGCCAACATCAGGGTCTTTTGCAGGGAGTCTTCTCTTCTCATGAGGTGGCCAAAGTATTGGAGCCTCAGCTTCAGGATCTGTCCTTCCAGTGAGCACTCAGGGCTGATTTCCTTAAGAATGGATACGTTTGATCTTCTTGCAGTCCATGGGACTCTCAAGAGTCTCCTCCAGCACCAGAATTCAAAAGCATCAATTCTTCAGCGATCAGCCTTCTTTATGGTCCAGCTCTCACTTCCATACATCACTACTGGGAAAACCATAGCTTTAACTATATGGACCTTTGTTGGCAAGGTGATGTCTCTGCTTTTTAAGATGCTGTCTAGGTTTGTCATTGCTTTTCTCCCAAGAAGCAGGCGTCTTTTAATTTCGTGACTGCTGTCACCATCTGCAGTGATCATGGAGCCCAAGAAAGTAAAATCTCTCACTGCCTCCATTTCTTCCCCTTCTATTTGCCAGGAGGTGATGGGCCCAGCGGCCATGATCTTCGTTTTTTTGATGTTGAGCTTCAAACCATATTTTGCGCTCTCCTCTTTCACCCTCATTAAAAGGTTCTTTAATTCCTCCTCACTTTCTGCCAGCAAGGTTGTGTCATCTGCATATCTGAGGTTCTTGATACTTCCTCAGATATGCAGATGACACAACACTTACTTATACCTGACTTATACTTGAGCAAATCCACGTACAGTAGAGATGAATAAAGCACCACCTGAGAAGGCAAAAGAAAGAAGGCATGGGATATGGATACTTCCCTTTTGGGAAAATGTAGATTTTTCATTGCATTTTCAATAAGAAACCAACATAAGAACGAATAAGCCTCCCACAGTAAAGAGCGGAGACGCAAGGATAGCAAAGAAATGCAGAAAGCACAGCATATTATGGTCTAAGAGAAAATTACATGAAAATGTTCTATCGGAGGTATCTAACACCGAGTAAATTGGCAAAAATGTATAAATCTAAATCAAATCACTGTTGGAAATGTAAAGAGAAAAAAGGTTCTTTTCACCACATGTGGTGGTCTTGTGGCAAGGTTAAAGCTTACTGGGAGATGATATATAATGAATTGAAAAGGATGTTTAAAATAGCTTTTGTAAAAAAAAACCAAAAAACCCAAAAGCTTTTCTTTTGAGAATTATAGGGACAGAACTACTGTATAGAAACTTATTCATGTATGCTACTACAGAGGCAAGAATGTTACTCACCGCAAAATGGAAAGAAGCAGAAGTCCCAGCAAAGGAAGAATGGATACAAAAACTTATGGAATATGCAGAAATGGCGAAACTTACCGGAAGAATAAGAAATCCAGATAACAAACTTTTTATAACAGAGTGAAAATGGTTTATTGAATATTTACAGATAAACTGTAAACAGATAAGAACATTGGCAGGATTGTTGTAATAACCTGCAGTTTTATAAGAGTACACATTTAAAGCGGCTGAATAAATGAGCAAATTAAATTGATTTGGATATGCAGAAGATATTAGAAATAAATTTAAGGAACCACAGAAAGAGGGGGGAAGGAAGTCAAGCTTTGAAATGTTAAAATGATTGTAGAATTAGTGACATGTATAAACCTGAAAAGCATAATTTTTATTTTAAAAAAAATGCAGAAAGCAAAATGGTCAATCACTGCATGTTTATTGTAGCCAAATACCTTGGTACAACTGGAGGGGTGGGCTGGTTGTGTTCTGTTTCATTCATGTAAGAAATGAAGCCGACCCTAATCACAAAAAAGTTAGCGTGTTGCACTTTGTTCCTTGGCTTCCTTTAGGTTATGTGATCGATCACACACCAAGGCTATCTGCCATTCTTTACCAGAACTCAAGATTGCTCAGGTTGGAGGTTTTCCAAAATCTGGGTAGGGATATTTCCTTCAGATGCTCCCACCCTCTTCTTCACTCTTCCAAAGAGCCCCTCTCTTAATACTTTGTTGACATACCTTTTAATGCAACTCCAATGATTTTAAGTATAAAATGGGCATGTGGAATGCAGAGAGCATTCCGGCTTGTCTGGGCAAAACCCTTGACCTTGGCTTGTGGAGCAAGAGCGCCCCCTTCTGACACAGCCAGGCAACATCTCGTTCAGAGAGGAAGCCCAGGCAGGTTCTGAAAACAGAACCTGGGTAGGCAAACTAAGGCCTGGGGGCCGGATCCGGCCCAATCGCCTTCTCAATCCAGCCCGCGGACGGGCTGGGAATCAGCGTGTTTTTACATGAGTAGAATGTGTCCTTTTCTTTAAAATGCATCTCTGGGTTATTTGTGGGGCATAGGAATTTGTTTGTTTTGGGGGGTTTTTTCCAAAATATAGTCTGCCCCCCCAAGGTCTGAGGGACA